CTAATTTTTGCACAGTACTCAATCTGTTTTCGACTAATACTATTAACACTAAGCTTTTCAAATAAACTCACCCCAGTTTTCTACCTAAAACAGACAAATGGCTAAGAAGTTACTTCCGATTCTAATTTCATCTTTGCTCTCTGCCCCCAGAACATTTAGTTGGTCAAAACCATGCAGTATTCATTATTTGTCCCTGCTTCTTTAACAGTTAAGCTGTTCTTAGAATGTTGCAAGTGCTGCCAAGAGGTAAGAAGATAATCTTCCTGAGGTTGGCCTGACCCACTTAGGTGATGAATCCTTCCACCAGGTCTCTACAGTCCTGCCTCCTACACTGCTTATAGCACCCAACTGCTTTTCTAGCCCAAACTTCCAAAGTCTTCTACATTCTTCTCTGCTACCAATCTTTTGTATTAGTCACTGTGCTGGATGGCTTTAGTGTAAACTTGACACACCTGGGTAAAGGGAGCCTCAATTGGAGAACCACCTCCATTGGATTGGCCTGTAATTGTGTCTGTAGGGCATTTTCTTGATTGTTGAGTGATGTGGGAGGGCCCAGCCCACTCTGGGTGATGCCATCCCTGGGCAGGTGGGTCTGTGTTGTATAAGAAAGCAGGCTGAGCATGGGCCAGGGGAGCAAGCCAGTAAGCAGTGATCCTTCACGGCCTGTACTTCAGCTCCTGCCTCCAGGTTCCTGCCCTGAGTTCCTACCTTGGGCTCCCTGATGAACTGTGACCCAGGAGATGTAAACCAAATAAACCCTTTCCTCCCCAAGTTGGTGCTGGTCAGTGTTTTGTCACAGCAATTAGAAGCAAACTAGAACAGCCACTTCTCTGCTTCCTGTGCCTGCTTGAAGATGTGAGCTCACAGCTTTCTGCTTCAGCCGCCATGCCTCCCCACCATGATGGACTCTTATCCCTCGGGAACCATAAGCCCAACAGACCCTTCCTTCTATAAACTGCCTTGGCCATGGTGTTTTATCACAGCAACAGAGATGTGACTAATACATCCCTTCTCTCCTTTCCCTACACACTCTCCCTAAGTTGAAGGGGGAAAGAAATATACCCATGAATTTAATGTTACTTTTGTGTGTATCTGATATCGTTTTATGACTGATTTTATACTTTAGGACATAGTACTCATCTTATAGTAGTTTATAAATGATTCCTAAAATTTGTGTTGAAAAGGAATCAAGGCTAAAATAGAGAAGACTATGTTGAGAAATTAATACCACAGTTATCTAGTAGAACATCTGTTTGCAACTGCCTTGACTGCTAAGGTACCTGAAATAAACTCTGTTAAAAAAAAGATACCTTAGCCCCTGCCCTAAATAACTGTCTCTGCAAACATGCCTGCAGAAGGAATTTCCTTTTCGTGTTCCCAAGGTACTAAAGTACCTATGCTGGTAATCACATAAGCTGTAACTTAAACCCACCAGTCCTTTAACAGTTAAAGAACAACATGGGAAAGCCGGGCATGGTGGCCTTTAATCCCAGCACTCAGGAGGCACAGGCAGGAGGATCTCTGTGAGTCTGAGGCCAACCTGGTCTATATACAGTTCCAGGCTGGCTGTGGCTATAGGGAGACCCTGTCTCAAAAAGACAAAAAATAAAATAAAATAAAATAACGTGAAGACTTATAAAAACCATGAAAGAGCTAAATTCAGGGGCTCAAACTCTGCTTGAGTCTGCCTAGTGTTCCCTGACACGAATACACTTTCCCAATTTTTCTATGTGAGTGTCTCAGTGCTTTTGTGTTTGTGACTGGTCCTGTGCCTCAGTTTCCCATAACAAAATGAATGCATTCATTCCCTTTATTTCAGAAATGCTGACAACTACCAAATGTAAATCTCCAGCCTAGACCCCATAGGACTCTATTTCATAAGCATTTCTACTTGGTAATTTCATATATATCTCAAGTTTACCCTGTTAAAAACTGAACATTGGGGGTTGGAGAGATGGCTCAAAAGTTAAGAGCACTGGCTGCTCTTTACAGAGGACTGGGGTTCAGTTCCCAGCACCCACATGGCAGCTCAACCTTCAGTAATTCCAGTTCTAGGGGATCTAACACCCTCTTCTGACGTACTCAGGCATTGCAAGACAAGGGCGCACTTACGCACATGCAGACAATACACTATACACATTTAAAAAAGTCTGTAACAACCTTGCACGTGTTAGCAAGTGACAGGCCTTGCTCACCTCTACCTCATTTCCTTCCCCATTCCCCCTCACCAAGTCCTGTTGGCTATCTTTCAAATTCTCAGTCTTTCTCTTCCCACCTTAGGGCCTCTGTGAGTGCTGTTCTCTACCCTGAATACGTTTCTATGTCCACTTTCCAAATGGCTTGCTTTCTCTCAACCATCAGGCCTGGACTTAAATGTTAACAATGCATTTAAGGAGCTTCCCTCCTATTTCTTCTTTAAATCATATTAATCTTGCACGTGGATCTCTGTGAGTTCCAGGCCAGCCTGGTCTACATAGGGCGTTCCAAGCCAGCTGGGCTACAAGGAGACCCTGTCTCAAAAAGACAAAAAAAAAAAAAAAAAAAAAAAAAAAAAAAAAAAAAAGAAGAAAAAAAAAAGGGGGGAAAAGGGAATGTTACTCCATTAAATAACAAAGTGAATTGGGTACAGTGGTGAATGTCTTTAACCCCTAGCAGAGGCAGGTGGATCATTGAGAGTTTAAGACCAGCCTGGTCTGCATAGTGAGTTCCAGGCTAGCCAGAGCTACATAATAAAACCGTCTCCAAAAAAGGTGAAATTAAAAAAAAAATTTATTAGTTTTATTTTATGTGTATGAAATACACATTGCCTGCACATGAGTGCACCTGTGTCATGCAATGCCTCAGAGGTCAGAAGAGGGCTTCGGATTCCCCTGGAACTGGAGTTAAGGACAGTTCTTAGCCACCATGTGCGTGCTGGGAATCGAACCTGGGCCCCCTGCAAGAGCAGTCAGTGCTCTTAACCTCTGAGCCATCTCTCCAGTCCCCAAAAGGTGAAATTTTTAAAGTGAAAATACTGCTTAACCCATAGCATCATCAGACCCAAATTAGGGCCACAAATTGACATCTACAACTAAAATTACATTCAAGGAACATAGATCAGTGCCCAACATGGGCACAGAATCCTGCAAGGTATATGTGCGGGTGTGTGCTGAAGGAAGTAGGGGTGGGTTTCATGGGGGCGGGGAGGGGTTCTAGTTTTGGCAAAACCAAAGGACTGAAAGAGGCCTATTGTGACGGTTGGTTCTGTAATCAGCCCTATGTGGTACACACAGCATATGATTTTACTATATTTTATAGATGGTAAAGTTGGAGCAAATTTATCCTTTACCGGGGGCTGAAGAGATGGCTCAGTGGTTAAGAGCACTGACTGCTCTTGCAGAGGACTGGAGTTCAATTCCCAGCACCCACATGTCAGCTATGAACCATCTTTAATTCCAGTACCAGGGAAATCCGACACCCTCTTCTGACTTCAGTGGCATTGCATGACACGGTGCACTCACATACATGTAAGCAATACACTCATATGCATAAAGTAAAAATAGTAAATAAAAATTAAAAAAAAAATTTAGCCTTTACTTATCAAGATCAATTGCATTCCAACCTGTGAGGAGGCAAAGCCTGGCTCCAGAGCACTCTCCTGCCTTTTCAGTCCTTCTCCAAGCCGCAGCACTCTCTGGCTATGCGGCCTGCTTTGGGAGCGTACCCAGGTTTACTCTCCCATGTATGGTGGTCTCAGAAAAGTACTCAACTCATGAGACTTGGCTACTGCTGCTTTTTCTTCTTTTCTTAGTAGACCCCTGTCGAAACTAGCTCATTGTGTTAACAGGACACTCTGGAAAATACCTACAGGTATACAGATGACTGACTCTTCTACCACAACAAGCCCAAGTACAGCTCAATCTCCAAGAGAGATGCTTAAATGACAGCGTCACTGGCAGTTCTTATAATTATTACTAATTTATGTAAATTGCTCTTTAGAAATGACTCCCATTCTCTCCAGTTCTCATTAATAGCCGAGTGAGGAAAAAGGGAGACAATTATAGTCCTTTTATAAAGAAGGAAATAGACAAGGAACTTAGACCCTAACATGACCTAACAAGATCCAGGATCCAAGTCCTTTCGTCCACTCATATGTTTTGCCTTCTGTTACCTGTTACAAACTGTGTTGAATGGTAACTTTATCATGCATTAAACTGGTCCTAGGACTTGGACTCTGATTCATGTTCAGGATCTCAAGCTACTTTACTTCAGATAACCTTAAGGTATTTGGACATGAAAGTTTTGCTACAGGCATATTGGTGCATATCTATAATCCCATCACTTGGAAGGTGAAGGCAGGAGGTTCAGGAATTAAAGGACATTCTCTGCCACATTAGCAAGCCCAAGGATAGCTTGGGCTACACCAGACCCTGTCCCCCAAAAATTCATGGTTCCCATCTTTTAAAGTGAACAGAAAAGATGGCAGAATCTGCCTTCTACCTGCTGGGCAGGTGTCCAGGACATATTTAATACTGAAAACTGATTACTGAAAAGGCCTTCTCACTCCACCCTGAAGATCCCTTTAGGAAACACTGGAATTTCAGCAACTTGTTTATCGAGATGTTTAGGTCTGTGAAGCGTCTATCCACTGAACTTTAAACACTCACCCCTAAAGTACTGTGCTAAAAACTACTAATAACCAATACCATAAAGTGGTAAAACACCCTTGACAGCACAGCTGATCGCCCGAGTTTTTATGACCTCCCACTATAACATCAGTTTTCCGCCAGTTAAAAGAAAGAAAAAGGACGATTTACCCCCAAGAGATGCTGGAGAACAGAATCAGAAGCGCTTATTCTTTGCATTTTCTAGAAATAGCCAGGAAAAGGCTCCCCAAGGGCTTTCTGCAGCAGTCTCTTTAGCGGGGCCCCTTTCCAGAGGTCCTCGCCGTGTGGACCTGGTTCAGCCCGCGACCACACCAGCCGGTCACACCTGGGCCCGGGTCAGGCTCCCAACCTTACCGACGTCCGCACGGGCCGCATCCCTCTCTGCGTTTCCTTCAAGGCCGTCTCCAACGCCGCTGCCACCGGGGTGTCTAAGGAGTCTTCGCGCGGGTGCTGGGCGGCCGGTGCTCGGGCGCTGGGATAGAGCGGCAGGTGGATAATATGGGCGGCCGTCGGTCGGGCCGCCCAGCGCGGGGAAGCCATCGCCCCGCCTCCGAGCGCGAGCGCCCGCGCCGGCCTGGGGTGGGTCAGCCTGCGCCTCCCGCCACATCGCAGACTCAGCGGGCGGCGGGCGGTTGCTAGGGGCGGTTACCAGGGACGCTACAGCAACTGCGAGGGACCAAAAGGGCTCAAGGTGCCTTCACACCTAGACACCAGCCCTCCCTCAACTCACCTAAGGCCGCAAATCTCTAGTTCAGACCTGCGACCCGGGGCACTGGAAGCATGGCGGCCCGCGAGTGGACCGGCTAGGCCGGCTCGCCCAGTGAGGCCAAGCACGAAGGCCAGCTGTTTTCACGGCCTGCCATAACACGTTAGTCCAGGCGGAAGAGGAAACAATGTGGGTGCTGCGACCCGGTAGTGACTTCCGATCAGCCACAAGCAGCTAGGTCTGCTGCTGCACGTGCCCTTAATGGGATTTGGTGTAACTGAAAAACAGCAAGACAGGTCTGCAGACTGAAAGCGTGTAAGTGGCGATTGGAGTAAAATAGCGAAGGATGAAGTGCAGAGAGCATTAGGACGTAGAACAAGGCAGTTTCTGTTCAGCACTGTTCTAAATTTGCAGTGTAAGAAACACTAAATATTAGGCCTGGAGTGGTGGTGCACGCCTGTAGTCCCAGCCCTTGGGAGCCAGAGGCAGGCGATCTCTGAGTTTAAGGCCAGCCTGGTCTACATAGTGAGTTCCAGGACAGCTGGGGCTACAGGGAGACCCTGTTGCAAAAAAAGAAAAAAAGAAAAGAAACATTAAATATTAGTCTTTTCTTTCAAACCCTGTAAAACTTGGAACTTGATTTATGGCAAGGAATTCTAATCTTTTAATTCCACCTCACCCTGTAAGGCATTTGTTTAAAGAAAGGCCCTGAGGCAAGCCTGAGCCTGATGGCCTGAGCGGTAGAACTCTTCCCCGCCCCGCGGTGCTGATTCTTTGATTCTTTTAAAGTAGCCAACCAGGAAAGACTGTGAGGTCTCTTGTTAGGCATAAAAGCCCACCAGGCTTCTGGGTCCTGTGTGACTGACCAAGCAAGCACCATTTTGCAAAAATAAAATCTGCCTTCCCGAATTACTTTCACTTTGTGTGGATCCTTGGACCTCAGATTTTATTTCTAACAACAGCTAAAAAGAACATACAGCAGAAACGGGCAGATCTGCAAGAACACCATCAAAGGAAGGACTGTTTTTGCACTCTTGTATTGAGATGTAACTTTATACAGGACAGTTAATGAATAGATTTTTGAATGTATATTAGATAAATTCTGACAGGAGTGAACACCCATGAAATCAGCCCTATTAAGATCAGGTAGAGCATTTTCTTTCTTTTTTACGTGTATGAATGTTTTGGCTGCATGTTTGTAAGTGCATCCATGTTGTGCAATGCCCATGGAGGCCAGAAGAGGGTGTCAGATCCCTGGAACTGAAGTTATGCATTGTTAGCCACCAGGCAAGTGCTGGGAATTGAACCCAGGACCTCTACCAAAGCTACCAGTGTCCTTAACCCCTGAGCTATCTTTCCAGGACCATTTTCTTTCTTTTTTTCTCTCTCACTTTTTTTTTTTGTTTTGAGACAGGGTCTCCCTGTAGCCCCAGCGGTCCTTGGAACTCACTGTGTAGACCAGGCTGGCCTTGAACTCACAGAGACCTCCCAAGTGCTGGGACTACAGGCATGTGCCACCATGCCTGGCTTCTCTTTCACTTTTTAAATTTTTTATTTGGGGTGTGTGTGTGTGTGTGTGTGTGTGTGTGTGTCTGTCTGTCTGTGCGCAATGCTTGCAGAGGCCAAAGAGGGCATCAGATCCCCTGGAATTGGAGTTAAGGACAGGTGTCAGTCTCCACGTGGGTGCTGAGAACTGAACCCAGGTCCTCTGGAAGAGCAATAAGTGCTCTTAACTGCTGAGCCATTCCTCCAGCTCCCTGGAAAAGATTTTTAAAATACAAAAGGGAACCGATGATTTTTGACCAGGTTAAGAATTTTATCAGTGGAGAAATCATTTAATATGTGTGCTGGATAGCTTAGTGTCAACTCGACACACCTGGGTTGAGGGAGCCTCAATTGAGGAATTGCCTCCATTGGACTGGCCTGTGGCCATGTCTGTGAGGCATCTTCTTGATGGTTGAGTGATGTGGGAGGGCCCAGCCCACTGTGGGTAGTGCCATCCCTGGGCAGGTGGGCCTGTGTTGGATAAGAGAGCAAGCTGAGCAGGGGCCACGGAAGCAAGCCAGTAAGCAGCATTCCCCTATGGCCTGTGCTCCAGCTCCTGCTTCCAGGTTCCTGCCCTGAGTTCCTACCTTAGGCTCCCTGATGAACTGTGATCTGGGAGATGTAAACTGAATAAACCCTTTCCTCCCCAAGTTGGTATTGGTCAGAAACAAACTAAGACAATATGGAACTTGGTATGACTGCATTAAAGATTTCTACTTGCTAGCTTTGTGGTGCTCAGTGCAAGAGTTCAGATGTTTGCTGTTTTTATATCAATAAAAAATAATTTTTAAAAAGCCTGCAGCATTTGGATTGGAAAGCTGGCTCAGTGATTAAGAGCACTTGCTGCTCACTCATGAGGGTCCGAGAGTTATGGTTACCCTCTTCTGGCCTCCACAGGTACAATCATATAAACATGCATGCACATACACATATGTGAAATAAAATACATCTTCAAAGCAAATTCTTTTGAGCTGGAGAAATGGTTCAGTACTTAAAAGCACTTGCTGGTCTTGCAGGGGACTGGTTCAGTTCCCAGCATCCACAATGGGCAGCTCACAACTGTCTGGAACTCCAGTTCAAGGAAGTTTTGTGCACACACACACACACACACACACACACACACAGATTTTTTCCACAATGGGCAGCTCACAACTGTCTGGAACTCCAGTTCAAGGAAGTTCTGTGCACACACACACACACACACACACACACACACACACACATTTTTTTTCAAATTCTCAATGTCAAACTGTATCAGTATACAGTTACTGAGCCTGTTAACATGTGATGATTATTACTCTCAAAGTATTCAATAAGCTTATTGTGCACTTACCATTATGAACATGCCCTGCATGCATACATACATCTTGTACTCTTGTGCTATTTCCTCAGGACAAATATGCATGGCCCCTCTCCTCTCTCCATGTACTCTGCTTCCTTCTCTTGCAGGCTTAGGACTCCAACCCTGGGCTTCCTAGCCAAAGGATTATCTTTTAAAGCTTTTGCTATTATCAAACTACCTTCCGGAAGGCTTAGTTTACACACCACCCAGATTTTGCCATCAGTACAAGGTTTTGCCAATTTTACTCATCTTGGCCAGCCTAGTATTTTTTTTTTTTTGGTCTTTTTGAGACAGGGTTTCCCTGTAGCCCCAGCTGTCTTGGAATCATGTAGACCAGGCTGGCCTTGAATTTACAGAGATCTGCCTGCCTCTGCCTCCCAAGTACTGGGATTAAAGGTGTGCACCACCACACCCGGCTTATTTTTTAAATTCATTTTTATTTTTAATCATGCAGTGCCCCAGAAGAACTTGAGTTATGGACAGTTAGCTGCCATGTGGGTGCTGGGATTTGAACCTGGGTCTTCTGCAAGAACCAGTGCTCTTAACTGCTGAGCCATCTCTCCAACCCTGAATGTTTTATTTCTTTGATTAGCAGCGATATTGAAATTTTTCATGTTGGCAATCAATTTCTTTTGTAAATGACCCCACTCATGTCTTTTATCTTCATTTTAGTATGGCTCCTTTACTTGCCAATGTTAAAGCGTTGTTACTGGTTTCTTTTTAGACAAGAATCTATTAGCCCAGGCTGGTGTGAAGCTCAACCCTCTTCCTCAGCCTCCCAAGTGCTGGGATTCCAGGTGAGCACTGCCACACTCGGCTTTGTGATAGATATTAAGACTTTGTCAAGTCATAGCAAATATCCCTCCTAACTCAGGAATTTCTTTTTGCCTTTTGTCTCACCTGATTTTTCTCATTAGCATATTCATTCTACAATGAGTTTCATGATGACATTTCATACATGTCCACTGATCCTCCCTTTCCTCTTGGCCTTTTCCCCATCTCTCTCTTTCTCCAACTTTGTCTTTTTGAGACAGGGTCTCCCTGTAGCCCCAGCTGTCCTGGAACCATATAGACCAGGCTGGCCTCGAACTCACAAAGATCTACCTGCCTCTGCCTCCCAAGTGCTGGAATTAAAGATGTGCCCTACCACGCCTGGCTCTTCTCAAACTTTAAAACAGTTTATTCATTTTTATGTATATGAGTGTTTTGCCTGTATTATGTAAGTGTACCCATGAGTGCAATGCCCACGAGAGACAGAAGAGGGTGACGGATCCCTGGAACTAGAGTTACAGATGGTTGTTAGATGCTCTGTGGGTGCTGGGAACTGAACCTGGGTCATCTGGAAGAGCAGCTGAGCCATCTCTCCATCCCTTCAAACTTATTTTGTGTACATACGTGTTTGTGTCTGTGCCATGGTGCCCATGTGTAGGTCAGAGGATAATTCTGTGAAGTTGATTTTTTTCCAACTTTACATGGGTTCCTGGGATTCAACGCAGATTGTGAGACTTGTGTGGCAAGAGCATTTTTCCTGCTGAGCCACCTCACAGCCCCCCATGCCCCCCATCTCAAATAGGCCTGCTTTACTGTCATGTCTTTTGTTTAAAAAAAAAAAAAATCAGAGTCTACATGAAGAAAACTTAAAAGGGTTCTGGAATGAACTCAGGTGTGAAGCTTGGTGGAAGTGCCTTAACCTGCTGTGCCATCTGGCTGAGCCCTCCTCCACCTTTTAAAAGAATTTTTATTTTTTTTATGTGTACGAAGTGTATTGCCTGCATGTGCGTTAAGTGCATCCATGCAGTATCCGTGGAAGTCAGACGGCATCAGATTCCCTGAAACTGGAGTTATGGTTGGTTGTTAGCCACCATGTGGGTGCTGAGAACTGAACCAGGGTCCTCTGCAAGAGCAGCCAACACTCTTAACCACTCACTGAGTCTTCTCTCCAGCCCTGCCCCCACCGTATTTTAAGACAGGATCTCTTTCTGAACCTGGACTATCCCCGCTGGCCAGTGAGCCCCAGGGATCCTTTTGTCTCTGTTTCTCCAGCACTGGGAGTACAGCATGTGGACTGCCTCTGCCAGCCTTTTATGTGGATGCTGGGGTAATGGCTTGCTGAAGGCTCATTTGATGACAGAATGTTCTAGAAGTAGGGAGGATGTTTTCTTGAGTCTGGCTTCCATCCTTTTCCAACAGATAACCTCACTTTTTTCTATATCTTAGTTTCCTATTGCTATGAGAAATATCAATACAAAAGCAGCTTAAGGGAGAAAACGTTCATTTTAGCTCATAGTTCAAGGGTATAATCCATCATAGGGTGTTAAGGTGGTCAGAGCTTGAAGCAGCTAGTCACATGGCATCCAGTCAGAAGAGTGATGAATGCATGCTGCTGCTCAGCTCCCTTCTTCCACTTACACAGCCAGGGAATGGTGCCACCCAGTGGGCAGGTCTCCCACCAGGTCACCTCAATGAACGCAGTTAAGAGAATTCACCCACAGGCAAGCCCAGCTGCCCATTTCCCAAGTGATTCTAGATTCTGTCAAACTGACAACACTAACCATCACCCATTCATCTGCTGATGGACAATCAGTCCAATTTCATAACTTAGCTATTGTGTATAATACACAATTAACATGGGGTGCAGGTATTTCTGTTGGATGCTAAGATTCCTTCAAATATATACCCAAGAATGATGATATAGCTGGATCATATGGTAGTTCTAGTTTTTATTTTCTTCTTGACAGATCTTACAATGTAGTTCATGCTGGCCTTGAACAAACCACCCTCCTGCTTCAGCAATTTACAGCCATGACTCACCATGAACTTCCATACTGATTTCTCTAGAAGCTGGACTAATTTACATTCCTGCTGTGTGAGAGTCCCACCCTCCCCAGACCTATTCCCATCCTTGCCACCATTTACTGTTTCCTTGATTTCTTTCCATTCTGACTAGGGAAAGACAGAAGAGTCATGAAGTTTTGATTTCCATTTGATGGCTAAAGATGTTACTTTTTTTCACATATTTACCTGGCTATTTGTACTTCTTTTGAAAATTGTGATTCATTTACCCATTTATTATTTGTTGATGTTGTGAAGCAAGAACTATTGTGGTGGGAAAAACCAAATGGGGGCCACTAGAACTGCCACTACCTAGGAAACTAAAACAGAAGCTCATTCCTGGAGGACTGTGGAGGTTGGTGCTACCATTAAGGAGGTGAAAAGTGTGCTGTAGTGGCACCCGCTTTTAATTCCAGCACTCAGGAGGCAGAGACAGAGGCACAGGCAGAGGCAGGTGGATCTCTGTGAGTTCAGCACCAGCCTGGTCTACATAGTGAGTTCCAGGACAGCTGGGGCTACAAGGAAACCCTGTCTCAAGAAGACCAAAAAAAAAAAAAAAAAGTGGAAAGTGCAATAGTGGTTCCCACCACATCCCCCACTCCATTAGCCTTTCTGGCCTGTATAAAACAGGGACTTTGGAGAATGACATGTTGCCACAATCTTTATGAAGCAGTGACTTCAACTGTAGCTGCTGTATGTGGTTTCAGTGTTTGACCAAATAACATTTCATGGTACCTGGTACCTATTAATGTGCTGAGTGCCTTTTTCTCCATACCTATCCATAAAGGCCATCAGAAGCAATTTGCTGAGCTGGTAAGCCTAGAAATACACCTTCACTATCCTATTTTAGAGGCACACCAACTATCCAAACCTATGTCATAATTCCGTTTGTAAAGATCTTAATCACTTTTCCCTTCTTAAAGATACCTTATTGCTTTGTTGTAACTGATACTATACAGATTGGACCTAGTGAACAAGATGTCCTAACTACTGAAGACTTATCCATTAAGATCTTTGAATCCTAAAGGCTGGGAAATGATTAGAAAGTTTAGGAGACGTCGCTCAGTAAAATTTCTGAGTCCTACACTATGCTGAGATGACCCTTCTAAGATGAAGGATTAGCTGTTACATATGGCACTTCCTTCAGCAAAAGAGCCATCTAGTAGGCCATGTTGGATTTTAGAGGCAAATTGTTTAGGATACTAGACACTGAACATAGAGCTCTACCACTGAGCCACACCCCTAGACCAGAATACTTCATAGGCGGAATCTCAATTAGCACAAAAGGGACTGTGATAAATGAAGAAAGGTTTGTGTCTTTCTGTATTTTAAATCACATACATTATGCTTTGATGTTTTCTATGGGAATGGATACATCATAACATATTGGAACATTTCTTTCTTCTAAATTCTTAGGGTTCTTTTGTCTTCCAGTTGGCCTGAAACTCTCTATGTAGCCCTGACTGGCCTCAATCTCAAGAAATTTGTCTTCCTCTACCTCTCAAGTGCTGGATTTAAAGGAGTGTGCCACCATGCCCAATTTCTAAATACTTGTTTTTTTTTGTCTTTTTGAAGCAGGGTCTCCCTGTAGCTCCTGCTGTCCTGGAACTGTGTAGAACAGGCTAGCCTTGAACTCACAGAGATCCATCTGCCTCTGCCTCCCAAGTGCTGGGATTAAAGGCATGCACCACCATGCCCGGAATACTGTTTTTTTTTAAGTTCTTTAAAAAAAAATTATACATAAGGGCTGACAAGATGGCTTGAATGAATAAAGGAGCTCACTGTCAAGTCTGATGGCCTGAATTCAATCTCCTGGTCCCACAGGATAGAAGAACTGATGCCCACAAGATGCCCTTTGGCCTCCACATGCTGGCCATGGCATGTGCTCCACACCCCACAAAATAAGTGTGCGCTTGCGCATGCATAAACAAACCCAGAACAAAAAACAAACCAAACAGACCAACTTATATCTCTCTGGGAATGGAGGCCCCAGCATTTGAAAGGCCAAGGTGGGAGGATCAGGAGCTGGTTCTAGATCTGGCTACATGAGGCTCTATCTCAAAAGAATAAAACTGTTAATCTTAGCACTTAGAAGGTAGAGGCAGGAAGATTAGAAGTCCAAGGTTACACTTAGCTACATAGTGAATTTTAGGCCAGCCTGGATAGGTGAAACTCTGTCTCAAAAAACCCAAGAAACCAAACCAAATAAAACCCACAAAAACAAAACAGTAAGAAAAAAACTTTCATCCAAGGGGTACGCAAAATACCCAGGATTAAACCATAAGAAAGTTAACATGGAAGCTGGATGTGGTGGCACATGCCTTTAGGCAGAGGCAGGTGGATCTCTGTGATCAAGGCCAGCCTGGTCTACTTAGTGAGTTCCAGGTCAGCTGGGGCTACAGGGAGACCCTGTCTCAAAAAGACAACAACAACAAAAAAAAAGTTAACATGGAACTTGGTACATGCCTTTAATATCAGCACTCAGGAGGCAGAGGCAGGCTTGAACTCTGAGTTCAAGATCAGCCTGGTCTACATAGTAAGTTCCAGGCCAGTTGGGGCTACAGAGAGACCTTGTCTCAAAAAGACCAAAAAAAAGTAGAGAAAGTTAACATGGAAGGATGAGATCTGTCACGGGGGGTGGTTTGTGTACAGTTTTTTTCAAAAGCATAAGAATATAATCTAAAAATGACAAGCTAATCTGCCTTTTGAAACCAAGTATTTAATATTTTCATTAAATTGTTTCAGTACAGTTTCAAACAAATGCTGACTGGAAGACAATGGCCAAAATTTCAGAAGAAATAACATTCCAGTCAAGGACACAGAGGTGTCATCCTCCACATCAGCCACAGTAGTGTCAGCTGCAGTGATTCCAGTCAGCCAGCCTTATCGAGTATTTACCTGGTAAGAAGAGAAAAAACCCCTTAATCTTCAAAACTTTGTACTGACAAAAAAGCTGGAACATGTTTAAGACAGTTACCTAAACTGTGCCTTATTCATAGTTAAGGAAAACTAACATGAACTGTTATCTTGGTGAGAACAAACAAAAACTTTAAAACTATGCCCGTTTGATCTTAGGGTATATTTTAAAAATAAGTATTTACTTACCACATCGTCAATTTTCAGAATGCTCCGGACAGTTTCAGTTGCTAAGGTCAGAGCACTGACTGACACCAACAGAGGCTGGACAACCATCTCTTCCAAAATGTTGGAAATACCACCCTGTGAACCAGTACAGTACTTGAGTGCTTGTGATAAAACGTATTAACAACTAATCTGGTAGTGCCATTCTTTGGAATCCAGTAAGACTCAAAAGGTAGGAAGTTGGCTTTATTTTTAGTCGCCCCTCCCATACATTGTCTCAAGCAAATACAAACACTCTGTGTTTACTCTATATGATTCAATAGTTGGTGCTCACAACAGAAGTAATGGTTTATGTTTACTTAGTATCTCATTAGTAGCCCTGACTGGCCTGAAATTCCCAAGCTGGCCTCAAACTCAGAGATCCTTTTGCCTCTGCTGGGATTAAAGGCCTGGCCTGATATTGTTTTGCAATTGAAAAAATGAAAGAACAGACTAACTTGCTGAAAGTGGCAGAGTTAATGAATACTATTTCCCACTGTGGCATCATGTTCATTCTCAAGGACATTTATGAACTCTTGCAGGTCTTGTACTTAAATCCAAAATTACACTACTTTTAAGTACAAAGCTTTTCAATAAATAATGACTATACAACTTTAAAAAATGTTCATGACGGCCAAGTGCGGTGGCACATGCCTGTAATCCCAACACTTGGGAGGCAGAGGCAGGTGGATCTTTGTGTCCCAGGCCAGCTGGGGCTACAGGGAGACCCTGTCTCAAAAAGACCAAAAAAAAAAAAAAAAAAAAAAAAAAAAAAAAAAAAAAAAAAAAAAGTTCATGTAAATCAGCAATTTCTGTAATAATTAAAGTTCAGGTTATTACCTTTCGGACATTAATGCCTGTAGTTTTTTCTCCTTGGGCATGTCGGTTTCTTAGTTCTGTTACTGTAGAAATGGGATTCAGGCCAGCATTTTCAGCTAGTGTAGATGGGATGACTTCCATAGCATCTGCAAAAGCACGAACACAGTAGGACTCCATTCCACTCAATGTTCGGGAATATTCAGTCAGTCGCAGGGCCAACTCTATTTCTGGAGCACCACCTCCTGCAATAAGAGCTCTGAAATTCACAAATATTTTTAGCTTATTTTATTCAACAGAAGGCTACTTTAAATAATTTTAACCTTAAGAATAGTCAAAATACAGCTTCATTATTCTTTAGGCAGGGTTTATAGTGTAGTTGAGAATAGCCTTGAACTTTTGATCCACATGCTGGGATTACAGGCATGCAGGACTACCACTTGGGGTTTGAGGTGCTAGGGGTCCAACCCATGGCTTTGTGCAAGCACTCTTATCAATTCAGCTACATCCTCAGCCCTCAGCCCCTCAAAATACTGAAGCTTTGCTGGGCTTTTGGGGCTATAGGGAAATCCTGCCTCAAAAATAACAAAAACAAGGAACAAATGCAAACAAAATACAGAAGTTTGAATATTCGAAGTATTTAGTAAGGTTTACGCTACCTCTTCTTTACTAAGCATCGAATGACACACAGAGCATCATGGATAGAGCGCTCAGCTTCTTCAATCACCAGTTTGTTAGAACCACGAACAACAATTGTAACTGTTTTGCTAGGACTTGCACAACCTGTAATCTTCAGAGATCAAATTTCAAATTAGGTAATGGTTAAAAACAAAAGAAAGAATAGAAAAGAAAAGCTTAACTACAGTATTGTTACCTTGAGCAGTTTTCCAGAACCATCTAAATTGACCTCCTCTGCTAACTCAGCAGATCCCAGCATGTCAGCAGTGAACTGGTCAATATGAGCAACTGGCTTGGTTCCAATTGTCTGGAAAATAGTCACATCCATAAATTAAGACAACATTTAGGAGTGGGGACATAACTTCCTGGTAAGCACAATTCTGATATATTGTACAAAGGCACCAGATAATTCCCAACACTGCCAAAAGCAAAACATAACAAAACAACCATCACTAAAGCCACAATTCATGTTGTCAATGGACATCTGTACAAACAGTATTTTACCTTACAGATGAATTCAATGTCTTCTCTTTCAATATCCTTAATCACCATAATCTTCATCTTGTTCAGAAAATGTAATGCAAGATCACTAAGTGCATCTCTAAAATATAGAAGCAGGTATTACACTAGGTGGAAAACCATTTTACTGTTCAACATTATTTTATTTTCTTGTTTTTGAGACAGTCTCCCATTAGCCTCAATCTCAGAAAGATCCACCTGCCCCTGTCTCCCAAATGCTGGAATTAAAGGTGTACACTACCATGCCTGGCTTCAACAATACTTTAAATTTTACTGTTGTTCAGATGGCCAATTATAGTATTTGTGAAGGAAAATGCTTTCTATATTTAAGTTTAAAAGTTCACAATTCTTAGCCAGGTGTGGTGGTGCATTCCTTTAATCCTGGTACTTGGAAGAGGCAGGCAGATCTCTGTGAGTTCCAGGTCAGCTGAGATCCTGTCTCCAAAAAAAAAAAAGCTCAAAATTCTTAAGATTCCCACTTTTTTTTTTTTTTGGTCTTTTTGAGACAGGGTCTCCCTGTAGCCCCAGCTGGCCTGGATTCACTATGGAGACCAGGCTGGCCTCAAACTGGGATTAAAGGCGTGCGCCACCATGCCCGGCTAAGATTCCCACTTTTACTGGAAAATCTTACAATTGCAATACAACTGTACAACACACAGAAAGCAACTATCAAGGTTTTTCTTAATACATGGGCACATTTTGCAAAGTGAAAGTTTACTGATTCTTTATGGAGAAATGTGATTAATTCAGAAACTACATATACTATTTCACAAGTTATCAGGAACAATGCCAGCAATCCTATGATACTAGAAAGAGACATTAATGTGGCAGGTTATGCAAATTGAGTTTGGGGAAAAATTTACTTAGGCCAGCAAGCCATTAAATAACTTGGGACTAGAAAACTAGCCTTCCTCGGGCTGGAGAGATAGCTCAGTGGTTAAGAGCACTGGCTGCTCTTGCAGAGGACCAAGGCAGGTTTGTCTTTCTGACACAGGGTCTCCCTGTAGCCCCAGCTAGCCTGGCACTCACTATGTAGAGAGCTGCCCCTCTGCCTCCAGAGTGCTGGGACTAAAGGTATGCACCACCACGCCTGGCAAAAAAACAAATCTTAAACAAACAAAAGAAACCTATCTTCCAGCTATTCATCAAAGACCATACAGAATGAGTGCTCATAGTACTGTCTAGCCTAGCCTGTCAATGGGCATATGCTATTACTAGAAGAAAAATACTAAAAGGGGTAAACAGGAACAGTACAAATTTGAGAATTCTCTTGTTCAGGGTTCTGTGCATGCTAGATGAGCATTCTACCAATTGAGCTACATTACACTCCCAATTTTAAAACGAATGCAGCTCTAAAAAAAGTAGTTATTTCATGTTCCTTTTACTTTTTTTTTTGAGACAGGGTCTTACTCTAGCCCAGGCTGGACCCTGTGCAGGACTTCATCCTGAGAGTCCAGGCATGAGCTACTATATTCAGTTTTCATTTTCTTAAGACTTTGGTCTAGAAAGATTATATACCCTACACTTCAATTATCAAGAGTAAAGAACCTACTTTATTAATCAAATTATGATACTGTTCCCAAGTGGACATTCACTCAATTTCTGATGCTTTAGAGGACAGAATCAAATCCATCATTTCTTAAATTACTAGTGAGAAGCCAATCAATTGTAATTAAAAAGAAAACAAATAGTCCCAGACCTCAGGATAGACTTCTGTATGAGAAGGACATTACATCCCGCTTTCTTAATTTGCTTCACTAAATTTAAAATATAGGCTCTCTCTTCTCTCAGCACTCGATCCATCTGGGCATAGTCAGATACTACTATCTGATTATCCATCTGTTTGAAAAAGAACACAGTAATAATTTACAAGAAATTGTAAGTGAAAAGTAAGACTCTTCAAATCGTATCAAACAATCATACAGATATGAGCAGCAAAAGGTGTGGGCTCTACTGCTCCTTTCAACTTCTTGTTGGCACTTCTTTTTTCTTTCTTTAGATAGGGTCTCATTATGTAGCACTGGCTGGCCTGTAACTCAGGATGTAGACCAGCCTGGCCTCGGAACTCAAAGAAATCCGCCTGCCTCTGCCTCCCAAGTGCTGGGATTAAAGGCATGTGCCACATTTTTGACAATCAAAAGAATGCAAAATAAAGCTGAGTGCACACCTTTAGTCCTAGCAGTTGGGAGGCAGAGGTAGGTAGATCTCTTGAGTTCCAGGCTAGCCTGATCTGATCTACACATTGGGTTCCAGCCAGCTGGGTCTACAGGAAGACCCTGTCTCAAAAAGACCAAAAAAAAAAAAAAAAAAAAAGAAAGAAAGAAAAAGAAACAGAAACAAAATACTAAACAAAAAAATGTGAGATTAAAAAAAAATTTTGGGTGCCCACCACCCCTTTCAGAAAATGCATCAATACTAATGCAGCAATATCTGAAGTAGAAAGCAGTTTCTTCAGAGTATGGATAACACCTACCCCTATCAGATAGGTGGTTTTTCGCTTTTATTTTGTTGTGACAGGGTCTCCTTGTAGCCCCAGTTAGCTTTGAACTGGCTATGTAGATCAGGCTGGCCTCAGTCTCAGAGATCAGTCTACCTCTGCCTCACAAGTGAGCCACCACACCTGGCTTGGCTTCTCTTTTCAAAGAAGCTAGACAGAACCTCAAAATTCTATGAACAGTTATACATGAAATTTATTTTTATTTCATATAGATCCCTATAGTCTTCATCTGTGACTTGTCACTTGTAGTGACAATTTCCACGTTTGCTTCAATTTTACTAATTTTTTAAAAATATTTTTTTAAAAAATCACAATCAGCATTTTTCTATTTTTATCATAAAGAACAAATTTCTCAGTTATCAGAAAGTTAAGAAACAGGAAACTCACTACATTTGGATTTTACTTACATCTGTTTTGGGAGCAGATAAGCAAAACTGAATAAGTCCAATCTTAGCCTTTTCCACTCTTGTTATGCCAGAATTTGCCACTTTCTGGGTAAGAACGAGACCTTCTACCAGTTCACAGTCATCAATTGTTGCACTAAGAAAATAAAAACAACCATCAGTCCAACAAAGTGTGCTTTACCCTCACATTCATTCTTAGGCGCCCACTCCTGAACCTCTGACCACCTGTCCTACCACCATAAGGAAACAAACAAAACCTTGACATTCCCATACCAATAAAGCTCAAGAAAACAAAAGCTTTCTAATTTTCAGAGTTATTTTTCATTTAAGTTACTTTCATTGGCTCAGGAAGGTGATCAGCCTAAGTACATATTTAGTTTGTTTTGTTTCTAGGGTTGTTCTGTTTTGGTGTATTTTGTGTATGAGACAGGATCTATGTGACTCTAGCTGGCCTAGAACTCACTATGGAGACCAAGTTGACCTTGAACTGAGATATCCACCTGCCTCTGGATCCTGAGTGTTGGGATTAAAGATATGCACCACCACACCTGTTTTCTTACCCAGACTGACTGGAACTCACTATGTGGTCTACCCTATCCTTGAACTAACAGCCATCCTACTGCCTCAGTACCAATGTGCTGGCATTACAGGTGTAAAGCACCATGCTCAATTCTTTCATTTAAATTATCTGATTTGGGCAATATTAACGTTGTAATTAGAGATGCTTACCCAAGCTTCTTAACTATTTTAATATCTCTAAGGTCCACGCTGGTAGCTGTGGCTGGGTCAATCACTTTCATCACGGCATTTACACTCATTGGAGAAAGTAGACTTGAATACTGAGAGACAACCTAGATTTAAAACAAAGTTACCTTCACAAAAGGAAAACTAGCATTTTTCAAAAATGACAAAATACAAAAGACTTATTTTGGGGGTCTGGTTGGTAGAGGACACCAGATACTAACAATTTTTCCACCGTCAGTCACCAGGGGTACAGGTAAAAATGGGTTTGCTTTTATTAATATAACACGACTGTCTAGATTACCAACTGTTTTACAGATTTTGTTTTCCTTTTTTGAGACAAGGTGTATCTCCCTGTAGCCCCAACTGGCCTGGAACTTGTTATGTAGACCAGGCTGGCCTTGAACTCTGATCTGCCTGCCTCTACCTCCTGAGTGCTGGGATTAAAGGCGTGTGCCACCATGCCCGGCTGCCATCTAATTAATTTTATGTGGAGGTTTCCTACCTAAAATGAGTGTGCAGTATGGCTATCTTGTCGGGCATTTATCTGTACCCCTGATGCTAAGAAGCTGACAAAACAGCAAATGGCCAGTATTTATCAAATTTCTTCATGTCTTCTGATGGATCAAAGCAGAGTGATTAAGTCATTTGCCCCAAGTCACACAACTTGACTAGTACTAGGGACATTCCAAGAAATTACTTATTTTCACTAATACCATCTAGATTTCCACTTGCAGTTAAATGAATGGTAATGGGTAAAAACAGGACAAAACCGGTAAAACTTTTTCTTAGATTTATTAATTTAACACCGGGCATGGTGGTGCACGCCTTTAATCCCAGCACTCAGCAGGCAGAGGGAGGTAGATCTCTGCAAGTTCGAAGGCCAGCCTGGTCTTCATAGAGTTCCAGGACAGCTGGGGCTACAGGGAGACCCTGTCTCAAAAAGACAAAATAAATAAATAAATAAATAAATAATAAATAAATAGGTGGGCATTGCTCAATGCAGGCACACCTATATACATGCAGGCAATGCACTCATATACATAAAAGAAAAAAAAAATTGCCAGGTGTGGCAGCGCACACCTTTAATCCCAGCACTCAGGAGGCAGAGGCAGGCAGATCTCTGTGAGTTCAAGGCCAGCCTGGTCTACATAGTGAGTTCCAGGACAGGTGGGGCTACAGGGAGACCCTGTCTCAAAAAGACAAAAAAGAAAAAAATAAATAAAAAATAAAATAACCCCACCAGATGATCCACTCTCTTGGCATATGACTTATGGACTCATCCTACTGCAGAGATACTTGCAAAGTTGTATTTGTTGCTGCTCTTTTCACAACAGCTACGAAATGGAAACAACCTAAATGTCCCTCAACTGATGAGTGGATAACGAAGATGTGGTTTTACTCAGTGGTAAAGAAAAAATGAAGTCTTGAAATTTGCAATTGAAAAGATGGAACTAGAAACTGTTATACTAAGTGAAGTAACAGGGACTCAGAAAAACAAGTGATGTTATATTCTCTCTCATCTGTGGATCTTAGCTTCAAATCCTCAGATGTAACTGCAAGAGCCAGGAAAATGGAAAAGAACTGTGGGGGTAAAGGGGAAGGAGGAGCTTGAGAGAGGGGGATAGTAGGAGACAGGTGTTTTAATACGGGCTACTGCCACAGCCCTTCATTTCCCCTCAGAACTTGAAGGTAAGACAGGACCTTCTTAGGACACAGGATTTTGAGCAATCCGACTGGATTTCATCTGGAAGCCTCCTCCCTGAAGACTAACTCAGTTTCAAAAGATATTCAGGAAGCTGCTAAGGGAGAAAAGCAATCGATCCTACCCAGCTGTAAAACCTAATAACCACAACAACGACTAGCACAGCAAACGTTACTGGTGCAGTAGTAGCACTCTATCCACAGCTACCTAATTGGACTTAAGGCTTGCTCAATGGGGGGATGACGAACCCGGGCCTTCTGCAAGAACAGTCAGTGTTCTTAACCGCTGAGCCATCTCTCCAGCCCCAATTTTATTATTTTTATTTAATGTGTATGAGTCTACTGCCTACATATATGTAAGTGCACCCATGTTGGTCAATGGCCCTGCAGAGGTCAGACGAAGGCACTGGATTTCACTGAAACTAGAGTTAGTTATCTGCCATGTAGGTGCTGGTAATCAAACCTGGGTCCTCTGCAAGAGCAGCCAGTACTCTTAAACACTGAGCCATCTCCAGCCCCTAGTTAGGTCACTCTTCAGACATGTACACTGCATAGTAATTGGGACTCAACACAATAACAACCTTCAGCTGTCATTTGACTATCCCCTAGTGATTCTCACCTTTGAATTCAATGAAGTGGTTGCACTATTTAACAAAGTTTCTCTGTCACTCAGTTTCACAGGTCGAGACATGTCAGTCAGGATTTCAATACCCCTTTCCAAAGCTTTCTGGAATGACTCGGAAATGATGGTTGGATGAATCCCTGTCATTTATGAAAGTAATTAATTAGGACATAAAACTACATTATTTGTCATTAATTTAAAAATATTTTACTTATCAAAGTCAAAGCAGTGAAACACTTCCCTTCCCTCCTCCTTTCTTTTTCCTGTGGTGCTGGTTCAGGGCCTCCTGCATGCCTGGCCTTGTGCCTCCAAGAACTTTTATTTTTAAGAAATATTTTTATGCGTATGTGTATGAGTATATTGTCTGCATGTATGTGAGTGCACCTGTGTCATGCAATGCTGCGGAGGTCAGAAGGTGTCAGATTCCCCGGAACTGGAGTTAAGGACAGTTTGTAGTGGCCATGTGGGTGCTGGGAATTGAACCCGGGTCCTCTGCAAGAGCAGTCAGTGCTCTTAACTGCTGAGCCACCTCTCCAGCCCCTATTTTTTTTTTCTTCAATTTTCTATATGTGTTTTGCCTGCATGTATGTAAGTGCACCTGTGTTGTGCAAAGCCTGAAGTCAGAAGAGGGCATCGGATCCCCTGGAATTGGAGTTATAGAGGACTGTTAACCGCCATGTGGGTGCTGGGAAGTGAATCTAAGTTCTCTAGAAGAGCCGCCAGTGCTCTTACCTGCTGAGCCATCTCTCTAGCCCTTTACTCTTAATGCAAGCTCATTTATACTTTAATTGGAGAGCTGCTACTATGATTAAACACTTCTTACCAAAGCAGAACCTACTTTCCCACCAGGTCATTTCTCTGAGCCTGAAATTAGTAATACTACCATCATTTAGAAAAAAGTGCCAGATGAGGTGGCACATGGCTTTAATCTCAGCACTCGGGAGGCAGAGGCAGGTGGTGTGAGTTCAAGGTTAGCCTGGTCTACATAAAGTTCAGGCTAGCTGGAGCTACAGGGAGACCCTGTCTTAAAAAACAAAAAACAACCCAAAAAACAACTAGAAAAAAGTTATTACTTCAATCATGTGATGTATCTCTCAATATGTGTACAAGTTCTGGTAACTGAAGATGTCAAAGACATTGATTTATGTGGAGTCGGAGTGGAAGGCAGTGGTTAGCCTGTATGTGAACTCTAGGAATTTAATTCGGATCCTTTGCAGAAGCAGTATATGCTCTTAACCACTGATCTTCCTCTCCAGCTCCTGCCTTCACTTATTTTGGAAAAGCAAAATTCTACTTAATATACAAAGAAAAGCCTAGCAAAAATCAGAAGCAAATTTAAAATTTTTCCTGGTAAAAGAGTAGTTATTTCAAATCCCACTTAGTAACTTGGTTATTCATAAAGCTGTTTCTTTTCAACTTTGCCTTTCTTCAGTAATAAAGCATGTTATACCCACCTTTCTGAAGAAGCTTGGTACAGGAATCTAACAGCGAGCCAGCAATGATGACTACTGATGTGGTGCCATCTCCTGCTTCTATGTCTTGAGCTTTAGACAGTTCAACCAGCTACATGAACAGAACAAGCCAAGGAGCTCAGAAACCTGAGAACCCAGTAACATCTAACTCAAATATCACACAAGTGTCACAAACACAGAAATTGAAGATTCACTATATTGCCTTCTGATTTGCTATTTACCTGGAGTTTCATTTAAAAATGAAAACAGATATATTAAAGGTGCACAAAATTCTATTTATAAACCTCTCTTCAATTTCTTAGATGTGAATTGCCAAGAAAAGTTCCTAAACATTCTCCCCTCAAGTTCCTACCCACATGCTTTATGTGGTTCAGTTCTTGCCCAGCATCCACAAAGCCCTGTGTCTGATCCCTAAACTGCATGAACCAGATGTGGTGGTACACACAGGAGGCAGATGAAATCAGAAGTTCATGGTCATCCTCAGCTACACAGAGTTCTAGGCTAGACCCTGTCCTTAAAAAAAGCATTAATGTCTTGTCATAGATAACATACAGCCTTGGAAGCTATGAAGTCTTTCCAGATGAGAATATAGTTTAAAGTACTTTGCCAAGTTTTTCTGAAGTATACCCATATAAGGCATAATCTGATTAATTCTATGTCACCTTTAAGTAATAAAAAGGACCTATTTTGAGATGGGGTTCTGACTATGTTGCCCCAGATTATCTCAAATGCTAGCCTCAAGAGATCCTCCTGCTTTAGTCATCAGAGTATGCAGGAATACAGGAATGTGTTGTTGTGCCCAACAGAACATAATAGAAATTAATAAAGGATGTTGTTGCTATGTGGCTTATTTGACACTAGACTAACTGTGACCCTTCAAACTACTATTTTTTAATAAGCATCAGTAAAAAAGGACATGGTTTGATATGCAATTAAAACAATTTTGTTTTCTAGGGGCTATGTGAACAGTTTAGTGGTAGAATGCTTGCCTGGCATGCCTAAGGCCCTGTGTTCAATCCATAACACCCCTAAAACAAACAAAATTAGTCTGTTCTTTTATAGAACATTCATTAAACTAATATGTTTTTAAAAAGTACCATTTATGCTTTATCTCCTCTTTCTCAACTACATGGCCCACTCCTGTGAACAAAGTGATTCATGTTTATCATCTCACACTGAAGAAACACAATGTACCCTAAAAATGTGCCTCATTAGTACAAAAACAATTCACCATGCTTAAACAGTAGCAAACAAATATAACTCTACTAAACATCAAACAAATATACTCAAACCACTTAATCAGGTCTGGTGGCACATGCCTGTGACCTTCAAATGGCTGAGGAGGATTGTTAAGTTCCAGAATAAACTGGGCTATATAGTGAGTACAAGGTCAGAGCCAGTGCAACACAACAAAACCCTGTCTCAAAAAAAACAAACCACTTACACTTACCATTCTGGCTGCCGGATGTAATACTTGCATTTGTTTCAGAATGGTGGCACCATCATTTGTAATGGTTACATCACCTTTTCCATCTTGAATCTGGAAAATTTATTTTTTTAAAATGTAGGACTCTAAAAGCTCTGTGTAATTTACTACTACTACTACTACTACTACTACTACTACTACTACTACTACTACTACTATTGAGAAGTTAATTTATGTATGCACAGTGCTTTCCTTCCATGAGTACAGTTTAACAACATTCAACAACAGTTTAACTTTACAAAAGATGTAACTGACTGTGTTCAGCGTACTTTAAAAGTAAAAGAACTTGGGGCTGGAGAGATGGCTCGGCGGTTAAGAACACTGGTTGTTCTTGCAGAAGACCCGGGTTCGAATCCCAGCACCCACATGGCAGCTGACTCCAGTCCGAGGGGATCCGACAGCCTCTTCTGACCTCCTCGGGCACTGCATGACACAAGTGCACTTACCTACATGCAGGCAATACACGCATACACATAAAAATTTTAAAAAAAAAAAAAAAAAGTAAAAGAACTTGGGGAGAGATGGGGATGGGTCAGCAGTTAAGAACTGAGTGTTCTTGCAGAATACCCAGGTTCGAATCCCAGCACCCATATGGCAGCTAACAACTGTCTTGTTCCAGGGGATCCAATAGCCTCTTTTGTCCTCTGTGGACAGGAGTGCACTTACCTACATGCTGGCAATATGCACATACACATAAAATAAAAATAACAAATGAAATATTTTTAACAAACTTTAAAAGCTGGGTGTGGTCATGTATCTGAAGAAACCCTAGTGGCAGGGGAGAGACAGGAGGATCAACACAGCTCCTTGGTCAGCCAGTCTAGCCCATGAGTGCTGAGCTCAGTGAGACACTGTCTCAAAAAGGTAGAGATAGCAGGAGACACCTGACTTTTGGATTCCACAGGAACACAAATGTGTGTGCACACACAAACATAGCATCACACATCACACACAGAAAATATTTTATTTTAAAATGTGAAGGGCAGGGGGCTGGAGAGATGGCTTAGTCATTAAGAGCACTGCAAGAACAGCAAGTGTAGAGGCATCTCTCCAACACTAAACAGCACATCTTAACCTTTTTCATCAGACTTTAGAATATGAACACAGGTGTTCAACAAGAAATGAATTTTTTTTTAACTTTTTACCATTTTATCCATTCCTTTTGGTCCAAGGCTTGTTCTAATGGCATCGGCAACCGCTGTCAGATAGAAAGATGCGGGGGATTAAGAATCTTTAAAAGTGTTTCATCTCAAATTTGCTGTATCAGAATATGGCATAACAGCTTACTGTGCCCACCAAGTTTCAGTCTAATAATAAACTATCAGAAACTAGGATGCTTCCCATGTGCTGTATGCAGAATACATTCTGAGGGTTCCTTTTAAGTATCAAAATGGCTCACTCTAGTCCTAAATTCTGATTGGTAAGTCACTATCATTTCCTCTATTCCTTAAGACAGGATAAGCAGCAATAGGGCAAGTAAAACTTTCTAACATGTGATACATAATTCACTTATTTCTTTTTCTCTCAGTCACAAGAACATCACTGTTGAGATCAAAGACTTGTTTAGTAATGTAAAGGTGGTATATACATGATCTATTGGAGAAATACAGTCAAAAGCAAACCAATAATATAACCCCTGTAAATGCTGTAGAATAACATTACCTCTTAACAAAACCAACAAAGCCTAAATTCTGAAGTTGTGGCCTTTAGTCATCATCAGTATGTCATCAAGTTGTCTAGATAGTTTTACTCTCATTTTGTATCTTCCTTGTATCTAACAGAACTAGAATTGATGAACAGAACACAGTGGCCTTTTCCTTCACAAATCCAGGAAAAATGATTAGATTTTCCCACCTTCTCACATTCCACTGTACACCCATATACACAGGATCATACCCTAATCATTTTTCTATATTCCATAACTAGTATAAAGCTTTTTGCCTATATTGTGTAAAAATAAAAAATTCAACAGAAAACATTTTGTACAATTTTAATACATTTTACCCACTTCATGATTTTGGTCAAATAGTCAATACTACATTTTCCTGTGATTTTCAGTGGACCTGCATGTCTATGATTCTACAAGAGGATCTTACTTCAAGAATCAAGACTAGAAAGACACCCACTATCTAAATAAAATGGATTATTTTAGAATTTTACATTGCTAAGGGCTTAGTGTAGTACAAGGTAGGTACAAAATGTCTGTTAAATGTGTCATGCTGAATAGCTCTGGAGCTACTAGCATTTATGTCTGTAACTTTCTTTACCATTAATAAATGATGTTCTATTTGGGGGAGAGGAGCGGCTAACTGGATAACCCCCAGAATAAAGTAGCATCCAGAATTAAACAGAAAATCTTAACTAGAAGCTTTTCACACTTTGTAGTTTTTTCTTGACTTGGAAAACAGTTTGCCACTTTGCTCTCTGATCTCCTTTTGCTTAGAATCTATCTGGTTAGGTCCACAAGCAATTCAGGTGAACCTTCCTACATACACACCTCCTTGTGATCCTGTTTCATTTGTGTACTGTCTCTGAAAGGTGACTGAGTCAATGTCCCATTTTGTCCCACCTGGCCACTTAGATGGCCCTAGAATTTCTTTCAGCATCCTGATGGCTCCTCCACCACTTATGTAATTAGCAATCTCAATTTTCAAGTGATTCCCAAATCCATCCAATCTGACTTCTCCCAACTCCTTAGGCTGAAACTGTACAATCCTTCCTACTGCCTTTTCTTTGACCTTCCAGCACCTATTTTACATTCATCACATTTCCAGTCATCATGATGATGACTGCAACACTTGCAAAGTTATGTATTTTCTCATTTAATTTTCACAGAAACCTATAAATGAGCTATTACCTCATACCACTCAAGATGACTTGTACTTGGGGGAAGTAAAGCCAAATGTTTTCTAGGACAGTAGGCTACAATCTACTTTCCAGTCCCACCTCAGACATCAAGCACCTTACTCTCCAACCCAAATAAAATACTAAAGACACACCCAGGTAAGATCCTATCTAAGCCTTTGTTCTCAATTTTCCTTGCATTTCTTTCTACTCCGTTCGACTTGTTTAACTCCTCAGATACAGAAAGCATAATTTTAGTCTCTCCAAATTTATGTGTAAGGGAATCTTGGCTCACAGGTTAAAAGTCCTAAAGGTCTCTTTGACGGCCACCATGTGCCACACTGTTCTAGTTCCCCACCGCCCAGTACAATGGGACCCACCCCAATTCAGATGAAAAGATTACCTAATTAGTCCTAACACTGTGTCAAATAACGTTCATTTAAATCGCACTTTATGACTATAGCTAAAAAATACTGTGCAGTCTACCACCGGGCCCAGTTATTAAGTGTCAGATGCCAATGCGGTCCCGTACTGTAGACGCCTGTCCGCCCGGAGATGATTATCGCACCAGCCAGAAAACAACTGGCCGCTGAAACCTACGATGGGGCGTGTCCAAGGGCCGCCGCACTTGCGTTCGGGAACCCCAGCAAAGAGGGCCCTACGGAGCTGCCCCAGAGGGGGACAAGCGGGAATACAACCCTCACAGGGCCAAAGTCCGAATGTAGATGGAGCCCGCCTGCCGGGGAGGCGGCGATACCTTTGGCCGCAGAAATGTTGCTGAAGCGGATCTGAGCCGGCTTGTCGCGGTCCTGGTAGGCGCCTTTCCCGCGGCCGGCGGCACCCGCGGCCGGCGGCCCGCTTCGGGGAGCCACGTTCTCCGGCATGGCAAAGCTGGCGACGAGTAAGCGGACTCGGGAGGGCGGATGGACGCAGATTCCTGCCCCGCTGGGGAATAACAGTCTACTGCCGCCGCCTCCACGAACCTTCCAGAAAGTGGCGCCGGCGGAGGAGACGGAAGTCGAGAGAGGGGCCTGCCTGAGGTGCGGCGCGGCCGTGACGTCAGAGGCTGCCCGCCGCGCGCCGGACGCGGCGCCTGTGCGCGGAGATCGAGCTGCGGGCGCCTAAGGTGGGCCCCGGGGTCTGCAACCACACGTCCGGATTTATAGGATTTGGACCTTCTGTCTCCCCACCTCGACCTGCGGATGTGCGGTCCACTAAACTAGCTCAGGCTAGACATATTGCCGAAGCCGTGTCAGCCCTGGCTTTGTTCTAGAATAGATGTGCCGCGGCCGGCTTTTTCTGGATTTCCAAGCCTGAATTGAAGTTTACTCATCCTGTGCAGTAGTCGGAAAAGAGATTTGCAATGAGCAGGTGCTTCACCCTGTGTTTCGTATTCATTCAGGTCAGTTAGAGACTTAAATACAGCTTGGTTAAATACCACAGGGTGGAGAGGTGACTGTCATGCCAGGACTCCCTGTTTGCTACAACCTGCTCGACCAGACATTTCTCTCCCGTGAACATAGCCACCGACGCTTAGGGAACATAAACACAGTAACGAGTTACCACAATTATTTGCTGAGCGAAATGGCAAGTTTTGACACACTTTACCCCATCTAATACTCAATGTAAAAAGTAAGTGCCAGCGTATTTGTGGATGAGGGAACTGAAGCGCAAGGTCCACTAGTAAGTAGATAGAAGCCATATTCCAACACAGCTACAGCTGTCTTTAGGTAAACTTTCAGGTTTTTATAATCACTGTTATTGAGTAGGAAGTTCATATAGGTGAGGTTCATCCGACAGTAGTTTACAAATAATTGTTTTTTGATTTTTTTTTTTTCTGTGTATGAGATTATGCCTACATGTGTTTAAGTGCACCAGTGTTGTACAGTACTTACTGGTGGACGACTGAAGAGGGCGTCGGATCCTCTGGAACTGGAGTGATGTGGGAAGGCCCAGCCCACTGTGGGTGGTGCCACTTGGGCCTGTGGGGGGCTGGGGGGCAGGGGAGCAAGCCAGTAAGCAGCATTCCTCCATGGCCTGTGCTCCAGCTCCTGCCTCCAGGTTCCTGCCCTGAGTTCCTACCTTGGGCTCCCTGATGAACTGCGACCTGGGAGATGTAAGCTGAATAAACCCTTTCCTCCCCAAGTTCGTAGTGGTCAGAGTATTTTGTCACAGCAATGAAGAACAGACTAGGACAGTTAGCAAAGGAAAGGAAGATAAGGTAAGAGCTGAAGGCAGAGGTGGAGTGCTGTGGAACACTGTCTCCCAGGCACGGTGTGGCTGCAGCAGCAGCCGTGATTACCTGTACAAGAGCCAGAGAAGAGTGGACCTGTCAACATTCTGCTATGGAGAGAGGGATGACTCGTGTCTTCACCCCTCCCTGAGGATCTACAGACAATTAATGGTTGCTGGGTGAAGGAGAAAATTTTCTCCAGTGGTGTAGCCACTGGTAGATGCCCATGTACCTGAAATAACCCCTTGCCCATTCTATGAATAACCCTAAATAACACTCATTGTGTCACACACACAAAAGGACATGAAACTGGAAGGGAGGCTAGTTGGGAAGAGGAAGGGGGGACAGCAGGAGTGAAAAGGGATCAAACGAGGGTAATGGGGAGGCAAATATCAAAATACATGATTCATGTGCATGAAAATGTCATGATAAAATCCATTAATATATGCTAATGAAAACGTGAAGGAGTTGAGAGATGGCTCAGTGGTTAAGAGTACTGGCTGCTTCCAGAGGATCCAGGTTGGATTCCCAGAACCCACTGGTGGCTAACAACTGCCTATAATTCCAGTTCCCGGGGATCTGACAACCTCTTCTGGCCTCTGTGGACTTTTCACAATATGGGCGCACTTATATACATGCAAGCAAAACAGTCATACACATAAAATAAGAAAATTTAAAAAACCCCAAACCCCAGCACTCAAGAGGCAGAGGCAGGTGGATCTCTGAGAGTTTGAGGCCAGCCTGATCTACATAGTGAATTCCAGGCCAGCTGGGGCTACAGGGAGACCCTGTGCCCAAAAGACCTAAAGCAAAAAAACTCAAAACCCCAAAATGAACAACTAAAAGAAATGGAAGAGCAGTGCATGCTCTTAACCACTGAGCCATCTTTCCAGCCCCAAATAATCATCTTTTTACAAAGTCAGTGAAGGGCCAGTAAAATGTGTCTGCAGGTAAAAGCACTTGCCTAGTGACTGAGTTCCATCCCTGAACCTCATGATGGAAGGAGAGAACTGACTCTCAAAAGTTGTCCCCTGACCTCCGCGTGCACGCGTACATACACACACGCACACACACACACATTTCTTTTTAAAAAGGCAATAAGGGCTGGGAAGATATTCAGTTAATAAGGCACTTGTCTTGCAAGCACGAGGACCTGAGTTCAATCCTCAAAACTCCAATGGAAAGTGGATATAGTACAAATGCTTGTAATCCCAGTGTTGGGGAGGCAGATAGATCCCTGGAGCTCTCCAGCTCTACTTGGTGAGCTCCATAAAAACTAGAGAGAGATCCTATACAAAAAAGTAAGGTGGATGTTCTTGAGTAATGAAACTTGAGCTTGTCCTCTGGTCTCCACATGCATACATACTGCATGCATATCTGCACACAAACACACACATATGCACACATGTGTGTACATACACAAAAAAATCAGTGAGTTATAAGAAAATACAAAAAACTGGGGCTAGAGAGATGGCTCAGCAGTTAAGAACACTGTTCTTGCAGAAGACCCGGGTTTGAATCCCAGCACCCACACGGCAGCTAACAACTATCCATAACTCCGGTCCCAGGGGATCTGACAGCCTCTTCTGTCCTCCTGAGGCATTGCGGGACATGGGTGCACTTACCTACATCCAAGCAATACATGAATACACATAAAAATAATAAAATATTTAAAAAAATACAAAAGCTAAATGAAATTAGGAAAATAATGTATAAAAAATAAGTTCAGTAGAGAAATGGAGACCACAAAAAAGAATCAAACAAAAATATGAGACCTGAAGAATACAATGATAGAACCGAAAAAAATCCATAGAGACAGTAAATAACTGCACTAGGCTGATTAAATGTTCAGATAGTAAAAATATGATGCTACATTTGGCTATGGTGATACAAGTCTGTAATTCCAGCACTTAGAAAGCAGAGATAGGAGGATCAGGAACTCATATTAGGTCTATCCAAGGACCTAATATGAGCAGGGGGAAGGGAAAGTACTAACTAGTAACAAACCTAAGTCCATTGGATTCTAGTCATTTCTTTGCATACAATTTTTCTTACCAGAATATGTGACTTTAAGGCAGAGGTTCTCATTCATTTCCGTGTCTCTTACAGCCTAGCAGATTGGCTGTACAACGCTCTCAGCCAGCGTCTGTTGAGGGGCCAGTGGAGAGCAAATGGTAACAGGTGGAGCTGGAAAGGGTAGAGGTGAGATAGGACAGGGGAGTTTATTGCAAAACTGTAAGGCACTTGCCTATTATTTTAGCTCACATTAAAATTATTATTATTGTTTCTCTCTCTCTGTCTCTCTCCCTATCTCTGTCTCTGTCTCTGTCTCTCTCTGTCTCTCTGTCTCTCTCTCTCTCTCTCTCTCTCTCTCTCTCCTTTCTCTCTGAGTGAATGAGTGAGTGGTGTGGGGGAAAGGAAGGCTTGTGTACCAGTGCACCCATGTGGAGGTCAGAGGACAACTTGTGGTCACTTCTCTCCTTCCACCCTGTGTGAGTTCTGAGGCTGGAACTCAGGTTGTCAGGCTTTTTTGTCTTTTTGAGACAGGGTCTCTCTGTAGCCCCAGCTGTCCTGGACTCACTATGTGGACCAGGCTGGCCCTGAACTCACAGAGATCCTCCTGCCTCTGCCTCCCAAATGCTGGGATTAAAGGCGTGTGCCACCACGCCTGGCAAAAAAAATTTTTTTATTTAAATTTTTTATGTGTATGAATGTATTGCCTGCGTGTGTGTAAGTACACCCTGTCATGCAATGCCCATGAACTCAGAGAGGGTGTCAAATTCCTCTGGAACTGGAGTTACAGGTGATTGTCAACTGCCATGTGGGTGCTGGGAATTGAACTGGGTCCTCTGCCAGAGCAGCCAGTGCTCCTAACTGCTGAGTCATCTTTCCAGCCCCTAAAAAAAATTTTTTTAACTCTTTATTTATTTTTGAGATAGAGTGTCACTATGTAACCCTAGCTGGCCTTGAACACACAGAGGCCTGTCTGTCTCTGCCTCCCAAGTGCTGGGATTAAAGGTTTGTGCCACCATACCTGGCTAGTTTTTGGTTTTGTTTTGCTTTTGTTTTTTTGAGACAGGGTCTCTCTGTAGTCACAGCTGGCCTGGAACTCGCTATGTAGACCAGACAGAAGACCACCTGCCTCTGCCTCCCGAGTACTGGGATTAAAGGTGTGCACCACCATGCCTGTCTTAATTTTTTAATTTTTTTATGTGTGTGAGTGTTTTACCTGTATGTTTGTAAGTGCACCATGTGCATGCAGTGCCCATGGAGCCAGAAGGCATTATATCCCTTGCAACTGGAGTTGTTAGCTGCCATATGGGTGCTGACAACCAAACCTGAGTCCTCTGTAAGAGCAACAGGTGCTCTTAACCATTGGTCCATCTCTCCAGCCCCTTGTACTTCTTTTTAAATTATTTTTTTGTGTACAGTGTTTTGCCTGCAGGTATGTAAGTGTACCCATGTGATGCAGTGACCAAGGAGGTCAGAAGAGGGCGTCAGAGCCTCTAGAATTAGAGTTATGAATGAATGTTAACCACCATGTGGGTGCTGGGAACCGAACCTGGGTCCTCTGCAAGAACAGCTGAGCCATTTCTCCAGTCCCCTTGACCTTGAACTTCTGATCTTCCCGCCTCCACCCTCCACCTTCTAAATTCTGGTATTATAGGTATGTACCACCACATCCAGTTTATGTGGTGCTGGGGATCGAACCCAGGGCTTTGTGCATGCTAAATACCAACTGAGCTACATCCCCCACCCTAGAAACCTGCTTCAGAGGAGGGTTGCTGGTAAGGTGTTTTAA